TATGCATCTGTTTCTTAGCTATTACTGGGGAAACTCTTTTTAGATTATTTTTCTTAGATGTTATTTGGATGATCAGATTGCATAACTCCATTATAATTTGTTTCCAAACTAATCTGTTCAGGCAAGATAAAGATATAAATGTGGATTGTTGTTGAGGTTTTAGGTGTGGTCAGACTTTTTCAGTTATGCTTGAAAAGTAACCATATTTCAATCAATGATATAATATGTATATTTCATAATATTATAAGCCATATTAGTCTCATTATTAATTCAAAAATTTCATCTATATTTCAACACTACAGAACATTATAAAAGGAAGAAATGACCTATGAATATTTGCTGCCTGAAGAAGTCACTTTGCTATTAATTATAGGAATAGAGTATGGAAATTTATACTTTCAAAATTTTCTGTAAATTTTGTCTCACTTATTATTGTACTTGGTAAATGAATAACTTGCTGCACACAAACGTTATATTTATATGGAGTCATTACTTAAATTCACTATATGCATAAACAATGAATAAATTCACCATTCGTAAATTCATATCAAATACATATACTTTTCACATCAATCAAGTACACTGATATGAAAAGTATATGTATTTTAACTGATGTGAAGCATCAGAGTAATCTCAAGGGAAAAAGACCTTTGGAGGATTTGTCCAATATTTTTTATAGTCACTGTCTCTAATCACATATATGGACTGAGAGGTAATAACATCACCAAGCTCATTACAGCCCTATTTACCTTGGTAAATTTACCTTGGTAAATGAATTCAGGGAGATGAATTACTGTCTTAGAATAAATTTGTATGAATGTTGGGACTATACCCAGGTAACCTAATTCCTAGTAGATTATATACCATGTATCAGAAAAGGTATTGCCTGTTTATATGATGGACATGTTATAAAAGTTTTAAAAGTTTGAATATAATAATTTATAATAAAGTTTAAAGGACTTGGCTCTGCATAGAGTCTCATTTTTTCATTTGTTTCTTTTGTCTAGTTATCTGTTGTCTTCTGGCATTTTGTATTGGCCTGATATTTGTGCAACGCTCTGGAAATTACTTTGTTACAATGTTTGATGATTATTCTGCTACACTGCCTCTGCTAATTGTAGTCATTTTGGAGAATATTGCTGTATGCTTTGTTTATGGCATAGATAAGTAAGTATATTTGCTTTTATGTATTCACTTTTATCTCTCTTTTGAAAACATCAATTATCAACATTCATTTCATTAAGAAGAGGAAAGAAATGAATAGAAGAAACAATTCTTTAAAAAAATCAAATCTTTTGCAGGCTCTTATTGATTCAACAGTTTTGGTAAAGTACATTTACCTATTGGGCAAATAGAATTATATAGGATGTAATAGTGTGTAGAATTTTAGAGCTTTGATTTAGTCCTGGTTATCAAAAAGTAACTTTCAGGATCTAGTAAGTATTGGCAGTGTTCCAAGAACCTTAGGTTCTTTGAGTTGTTAATCTACATTCCACAGATGTAGTTGTTATCTACATTTCACAGATAAGGAAAATCAAGCTTAGAGAGATACCCTGTGACTTGCCTGTCACCCACCTGGACAGTGACAGACCTGGGACTCATGTCCATTTCTGTTTAACTCTAAAGCTTATCTCCTAATTATTTTGCTAAACTGATTTATAGGAGGAGTGCATGTGTCATAATGACTTACATAACAGGACAATATTGGGAAATGATATTTTCCCAGGTGAGACATGTATGTCATTTGCTGCACACAAACGTTATATTTATAAGGAGTCATTACTTAAATTCGCTATGTGCATAAACAATGAATAAATTCACTATTCATAAATTCATATCAAATACATATACTTTTCACATCAATCAGGTACACTGATACGAAAACTATATGTATTTTAACTGATGTGAAGCATCAGAGTAATCTCAAGGGAAAAAGACCTTTGGAGGATTTGTCCAATACTTTTTATAGTCACTGTCTCTAATCACATATATGAACTGAGAGATAATAAGATCGCCAAGCTCATTACGGCCCTAGGTAAAGTAGCAATGCATGCACCTTAAGTGAAGACCAGAGTCCTTTTAAGCAACATAAAGAATATTGTTGGTATTGAATGAGCTTTGTAACAACGCTTTGTAACAAAGCTTTATGGTTGCCAAAAGCTCCAGGCCAGGAAGGTTAGGAGAACTTACATTTAATAATCATGTACTGTATAATAATAGTAGTAATAGCTCGTACCATATAATTCAGCAATCATGCTACTTGGTATTTACCCAAAGGAGCTGAAAACTTATGCCCACTTAAAATTCTGCACGTGGGTGTTTATAGCAACTGTATTCATAATTGCCCAAACTTGGAGGCAACCAAGATATGCTTTAGTAGGTAAATAGATAAATAAACTGTGATACATACAGGCAGTGAAATATTATTCGATCCATGAAAAGACACAGAGGGAATTTTAATGCATATTACTTAGTGAAACAAGTCACATATGAAAAGGTTACATATTGTAAGATTCCCCTATATTATAATATGGAAAAGGTAAAACTATGGAGACAGTAAAAACATCAGCAATTGACAGGGGTTGGGCCAGATCCAGGGAAGTATAGGCAGAGCATAGAATGTTTAGGGCAGTGGGACTACTCTGTATGACACTGTAATGGTGGACACATGTCATTATACATTTGTCCAAACCCAGAGAATTTACGACACAAACAGTGAATTCTAATGTAAACTGTGAGCTCTAGGTAATAATGATGTGTTAACTTATGTAGGTTCATCAGTTGTAACCAATATTCCACTCTCGTGGGAGATACTGATAATGGAGGAGCTTATGCATGTATATTGGTAGGAGCTATATGGGAAATCTCTCCACTTTCAGTTCAATTTTGCTGTGAACCTAAAATTGCTCTTAAAAAATAAAGTCTGTAATAAAAAAATAGTCCGTGTTAACTAACATGAACCATATCTTACAGATGGGAAACTGCCCCTTCTTTTACAGGAGGATACAATATGTTAGCTGTAGAGCCAGTACTGTAACTTTGACCTTCATTTCAAGGCCAGTTTTCTCTAAGCTTTACTAGGCTACTCAAAACTCATAACCTGTACCATGATGGAATTTGATGTTGTTATTGGATTGATCTGTAAATACATTTGTAGTTTAGATTTCCATTTAGACGGTTAATTATTCATGGTAAACTTACTAAGGAATCTCTCTTTTTAATGCTAGTGTTCCTGAATAACACTATTTATAACAACAGAAGAACAAATACTACTACTAATAGATGAATCTGTCGATTTTGTACTATATGTGAGGTAGTATGCTAAGCATCCATTGTTTATGGTTCTAGTAATAACCCTCAAAGGTGGGTATTATATTATCTTTTTGGAAAACACCAAAAATGAAACTTAGAGAGATTAAGATACACATCAAAAGAACACAGAACTGTGATCTGAAATGAGGTCTCTTGCTCTTCAAAGTTCGTATTTTTTCTAAAGGGCAGGTATAGAATTCTTACACTGAAGATGTCCTTTAAGATTCTGGAGCAACTTGGAAGAAATGAAAAAGGGAGGAGAAACATAGAGATTAAGACTGGGTCAGGCACGGTGGCTCACACCTGTAATCCCAACACTTTGGGAGGCCAAGGTGGGCAGATCACTTGAGGTCAGGAGTTCGAGACCAGCCTGACCAACATGGTGAAACATCATCTCTACTAAAAATACAAAAATTAGCCGGGCATGGTGGCGGTCGCCTGTAATCTCAGCTACTCGGGAGGCTGAGGCAGGAGAATCGCTTGAACCTGGGAAGACGAGGTTGCAGTGAGTCGAGATTGTGCCACTGTACTCCAGCCTGGGCAACAGGTGAGACTCTGTCTCAAAAAAAAAAGAAAGAAAGAATGGACTCAAGAGATATGACAATTCATAACAATTAGTTACTATATGTAGACCTTTTTAAAAATTCAGAATGTAAAAAGAAGAGTTCAGAAAATACAACATTGATTAGGTATATTTGATGATATTAAGGAATTATTATGCTTTTAATGCATAAAAGTAAAAATTTACTAATTTTTACTAAAAATAATAGAAAAATTAGTAAAAGCAATAGTAAAATTATTTACTAAAAAGTAATTATTACTAAAAGTAATAATTCCTTAATAGCATAGTATTAATAACATAGTAATAATTCCTTAATGTATAATTACTTAATATTTCTTAATAATAATTAAGTAATAATTACTAAAATAAATAATTTCTAAATAATTTCTTTTAGTAATTATTACTTGTATTACTAAAAAAGAGACAATAAATTTTTAATGCACTGAAAATATTTTGTTTATAGAATAGAAAGTTATCAGTAGAAGAATTCAATAATTGGCTTAAGAGAGTTTTCCCTAAATAAAAATTATAGTACTTAACTGTTTTCATTTAGTTTATAGTCATCTTCCAAGAGGAACTTTGGTACAATATAAAATGTCATAGGGTATCCATGACTAAATCTTTGTCAGACCATTAATACAATGCACATTTTTAAGGTTTAGCAATATTAAATTAAGGAATAATTAAATACTTTCTTTTTATTCAGGTTTATGGAAGACCTAAAAGATATGCTGGGCTTTGCTCCCAGCAGATATTACTACTATATGTGGAAATACATTTCTCCTCTAATGCTATTATCATTGCTAATAGCTAGTGTTGTGAATATGGGATTAAGTCCTCCTGGCTATAATGCATGGATTGAAGATAAGGTAAATACAAAATAAGGGAATTACATTTTTAAAAGGTACATAAAAAGCTTTTTTAGAGCATTTTGTCTCTGTCACAGCATTTTTTTGCTGTTAATGAATGGCATAGCTTTTATGCAAGGATATGAGATTTACGTTTGTGCCCTGCCCCAAGCATATATAATTTTTAAAATACATTGTGGATGTTTTTAACACATATGAAACACTGACCTTGTCCTTATTAAAGCAGATATATCCATCTTAACATTGACGAACCAGTAATTATTGGGCCTTTGACTCTAGAAAACATATTAATCAAAACCAGAAATGTTTTAATACATGAATTTATTAAGTTGTATCCCAGGCCAGGTGCAGTGGCTCATACCTATAATTCCAACACTTTGGGAGGCCAAGGCAAAAGGATCACTTGAGGCTGGCAGCTTGAGAGCAGCCTGTGCAACATAGAGAATCCCTGTCTCTACAAAAAATGAAAAAAAATTAGCTAGGCATGGTAGCACTCGCCTATAGTCCTAGTTACTCGGTAGGCTGAGGCTGAAGGATAGCTTGAGCTCAGGAGTGGAAGGTTACAGTGAGCTATGATTACTACTGCACTCCAGCCTGTGTGACAAAGCAAGGCTCTATCAATCAATCAATCAATCAATCAATCAATAAGAATTGTATCCCAGATTTTATGTAATGATGAAAAATATGTATTAGCAAAGTACACAATTTAGTAAATTTTAAAGTAAAGTTCTGTTATAACATTTATATTAGCAATAACTATTTCAATTTCTATTCTCAAGCTGAATAATAATGTAATCATTAGGTATATCTCAGCTGCCATAAAATCAAAGTGCTTATTTTCCGAGATACCTGTGACCTTTAACTATCCTGTGGTTAATAATTCTAGACTGAGGCATAAACAAATCTGTTCTCTCACCAAAACCCTTGGGGCCAGATGTGCTTCAAAAGTTTGGTTTTCAGATTTGAGAAAGATATATGACACGTTTAAGAGGTATCTATTGCTTAGTAACAAACTACTCTGAAATTTAATGGCTAAAAGCAACATTGATGTATTATTTCTTACAGTTCCGTGGCTGAGCTAAGCCGTTGTTCTTCTTTTCTTGCCTGGGCTAACTCAAGCAGTTGCATTCAACTTGGAGGAAAGCTGGGCTCTCTTTTTAGGTGGTCTTTCATTTATAACGTTTCCAAGCATTATGGATTCAGGGCAACATTGTAAGAAACAGAAGCAGAAATTGGAAGGTCTTTAAGGCTTAGTCTTGGAATTTGCTTAGCGTCATTTCCACCGCTTTCTATTGGTCAAAACAAGTCACCAAGTCAGCCCAGATTCTTTCCTCATAAACCTGAAGCAAGTACAATATTTCATGTATGTGCAAAGAAAGATAGATTACTAATAATTATTATTTTCTTCTTTAACAGGCATCTGAAGAATTTCTGAGCTATCCAACTTGGGGACTGGTCGTCTGTGTCTCTCTGGTTGTCTTTGCAATACTCCCGGTCCCTGTAGTCTTCGTTGTTCGTCGCTTCAACCTTATAGATGATAGTTCTGGTAATTTAGCATCTGTGACCTATAAGAGAGGAAGGGTCCTGAAAGAGCCTGTAAACTTAGAGGGCGATGATACAAGCCTCATTCACGGAAAAATATCAAGCGAGATGCCATCTCCAAATTTTGGTAAAAATATTTATCGAAAACAGAGTGGATCCCCAACTCTGGATACTGCTCCCAATGGACGGTACGGAATAGGGTACTTGATGGCAGATATTATGCCAGATATGCCAGAATCTGATTTGTAGCTGGGGGAAAAGTCAGTGGGTTTTATTTGGTTCATTTTTACCAATGAACATTGGCCCTACTAAGAGAAGCATTAGGCTTCCCTTATCAGAGGGCGATCTCAGGTGTTCCATGGCTGTGATCTTTAATCCTAACAGTATATGTCAGTTCAACTTGAGCATTCTTTTGGATTCTTTGGTTTACATTTGTACAGAAAGGTTTGCAGACAAATCTTAGGATGGCTGAGGCACATGTATGCCAGGATTTTTTTTAAGTACCTTTGGTGTATTTTCAAGTATTTCTATCTCTTAAAAAATGGTGTTACCTCAGTTTCTAATAATTTCTGGGTTTAGTAGTGTTGGCAATTAAAAATGGTATACCTTAAAATTTGTAAGTTTGCCTTCAGGGTAACTTCCAGTATCATAATGAGCAGTTCTGTAAGTGGGTGCCTCTCAGCACATTTCCATGAATATATTATGTAGATAGGCTATATTGATTTTGGTAGCATTGATACCTTCTTAGGCAATTAGTTGAAGAAAACTGCACAATATTTTCTTATGTAATAGCTGTATAGAGCAATAGCATCAAAGCATAAGAAGGCACTAATGCTGGGATGAAAGATGAGATTCAGAGGTGACTGAGAATCATGTGAGTGATGGCTGTATATTTTGTGTAAAATATATGTGTGAAAATGAACTAGAGTGAGTTACTCAGCACTCTCAAGAATTATGCAGACTCTGCATTTTTCTCATGCCATGTGCCTAAAAATCTACTTGATATTTATTGTGGTTTCAAGATTATTCATAGTATATTTATACAATATACTTGCAATGCATATAAGTACTTAAAGTACTAATTGGAAAACTTGAAGCAAGATGGCATTTTAATTAATCTATTTCTGTTTTGCTTCTGTTTTATGCAAATATACATCATTTTTAAGTGATTGTTAAAATTGTAATGCATTACATTTTAATCTACAAATAAACAAAGTTTAGAAATGTTTGTTTTTCACATTGATTTTCTTTGTATCACCTCAACTGGATTGTCTTTCATTTCAGTCAGCACTTAGGCATTTCATAATAACTAAACATCACATTCCAAGTGGGATTAATTACATTAATTGAATAGAGTTACCACCACTTCAGAGACAAAGGAAAAATAGAATATTATGGTTCAATGGTGTTCTTATGTAGTCTTATGATTCTTGAAAAAGTACTTATAGCCTCCCAAGAAACCATGTGTGCAATTGACTGCTTGCTGTGTCAATATTGTCTGTAAAGTATAAAAGACTATGATTTTTAAATAAAACTGTTGTGTATATGAAATTGGATAGAGCAGAGAAACCTCACTGAGTGCCCTCTAGTTAAAAATCTTTCATTTATCCTACCACCAGATCAGTTACATGTTAAAAACAGTGACGGAAATAGCAGCAAAATAGGTGAGATAATACACATGCCGTATCTATTGATTTATTTCAGCCAGTATTCTTGCTCTGCTATAGATAGATGTTAATAAACAGTATCATAGCATTTAAAATATTAATTCCACTGGTGCATACATTTTTAGTCTTTTAAAATATATTCATGAGTATTATGTTTTGTATCCCTTTAAAAAGGTTTAATATTTTATAAATAGGCAGTATATGCACATTATACAAAACTAAAAAATTATGACAATTCAGTGTGAAGCAAGTTCTCATCCAACATTTCTCCTGGCCATCCATTGTCCATCCTTAAAGGCAATCACCATTGCCGGTTTCTTCTGTATCCTTCTGGAAATACAATATATTGCATAAATGACAGCATTCTATATTCTTTCGTCTATATTTTACTTATTTCTGTGAAAAATTTATTTTGGACAGCATTTTACACATGAATACTTACAAATGTGCTTCATTATTTCAGAGGCTGAAGTAATAAAAATTTTGTTTATTTTTGTGTCGAGGCAATATTTTTATATAGTACCCTAATCTTTATAATACTTAACCTGCCAGACTTCAACGGTAACACAATAATGCATTGCCAAATAGCACCATTCTTCTTCTCTCGCTCTCTTGCCATGGGGGCTCTTAAAAAAAAAAAAGTATATATCTAAGGCATACAACATGCTGTTTTGATGTATATAAATATAGTGAAAGCAAAAAAAGTATATATGTAAGGTGTACAATATGCTGTTTTGATATACATAAACATAGTTGCAGCAATTAACTTGTCAATCATCTCCCATAGTTGCCTTTTCTGGTGGCAAGTGAACCTAAAATCTATTCTTTTAGCAATTTTTTCAGTATGCAATACAATATTATTAACTATTATTTTCATGTTTTACATGAGACCTCTAGAGTTATTCATCTATATAACTTTGAACCTTTTGACCTACTTCTCCCCATTTTCACCTTCTTCCCACTCCTGGTAATCAACTGTTCTACTCTCTGTTTCCATATACTTGGCTTTTTTTTTTTGTTTCTACATATAAGTGAGGTCATGCTCTATTTCTCTATTTCTTTCTATGTCTGGCTTACTTCACTTAGCATATTGTCCTCCAAATTTATCCATGCTTTTGCAAATGGTAAAATATTCTATTGTGTATATATATCATAATTTCTTAATTCATTCATCCATTGATTGACGCTTAGATTGTTTCCATATCTTGGCTATTATGAATCATGCTGCAATGCATCTGGGAGCACAGATCTTCCATGAGGTGCTGATTTCATTTCCTTTTGATATAATCTACAGTTTGGGTACCTGCCTTGCACTAGGAATTATTTCTGCATCCTTCTATTCACTGAGTAATATGAACAATGCAGGAATATTATTTTTGAGTTGAAATAGAATTTAAAACCCTTATTATGGTTTCACTTGGCAGATAAGGAAATCTGGCCAAAGAAGTTAAAGAAAAATGGACAAAGTGCTCTTCTTTTTGCTTCCTTCATGCAGTCGGTTCTTCAGCTGTACACTTATTTATTGATTTATTCACTCAGGATCTATTAACTAAAATTCTAACTTATTCTAAGTACTTTATGCAAGACACCATTATAATTAGAGTATAAATGCTATTCATTTTTTTCCATTTTCTCTTGTTTGCCAGTGAGAACTGCTACCTGCCTTTTCCCAGGCAATGTAAGATTTAATCAACAAATAGCAGTTTGAAATAGCCTTCTCTATACTGTAAAATTTGAGACTTTGAAATTTGTGTTACTTTCCACTACTTCTATAAACTCTGGCCTAATGTTGCACCTCTATGTGATGTAGCCAAGATTCATCTGTCTTCAAACAGAAAGGAGACTAGGGACTGAGACGGGAGGGATAATAAATATTCTGGAGTAGAATACAAGGATGACGGGGTGGAGCAAGATGGTGGAATAGAAGCCTACACCTTTTATCTTTCATGCAGGAACACCAAATTTTAACAACTGCATGTACACAGAAAAGCACGATCACAAGAACAAAAAAAATCAGGTGAACATTCATAATACTGGTTTTAACTTCGTATTGCTGAAACAGGCATTGAAGAGGGTAGGGGACATTCTTAAATTGCTGAAGCCACCTCTTTCCCATTTCCTAATAGAGGGCCTGCTGTGCAGGGTGTGCACTTGGGGAAGGGAAAGCGCAGTGACTAAGGGACTTTTTCATTTAACTCAGTGCTGCCCTCCCACTGTAGAGAGAAAAGCTGTGCTGGGCTCAGTCAGCACCTGTGCACAGGGAGAGTATTTGGACCATGCATAGCCAGAAGGAAATCGCCCATCCCAGCAGTCAAAACTTGGGTGTCTCAGCAAGCCTCAACAACATGGGCCAAAGTGCTCTGGGGTCCTAGGTAAACTTGAAAGGCAGTCTAGGACACAAGGACTGCAATTCCTAGGCAATTCCTACTGCTGGGCTGGGACTAGGATGGACTATGGTGGCACATGACCTAGACACCAGTCTGGGTGGTTAAGGGAGTAGTGCCTGTGCCACCACTCCCCCAACCCCAGGCAGTGTGACTCACAGCAACAAAAATGACTCCTTCCTTTTGCTTGAGGAGAGATTAAACAGTAAGAAGGACTGTATCTTGCATCTTGGATACCAGCTCAGCCACCGTAGGATAGGGCACAGGGTAGAGCTGTGAAGTCCCCATTCCAGATGCTAGCTCCTGGGTGACACTTCTAGACACATCCTGGGCCAAAAGGAAGCCTTCTGCCCTGAAGAAAAAGACCCAGTCCCGGCAGGACTTACCACCTGCTGACTAAAGAGCCCTTGTGCCTTGAATAACCAGTAGTGATACCCAAGTAGTATGCCATGGGCCTTGGGCTCTGAGATGTACTGGCTTCAGATGTGACCCAGCACACTCCCAGCTCTAGTGACAATGGTAAAAGACTCCTTCTGTTTAAGTAAATCAGGGAGAAAATAGAGGACTTTGTCTTGCACCTTGGGTACCAGCTCAGCCACAATGGGCTAGGGCAACAAGCACGGTCTTGGGATCTCTGAGCCGAGGACTAGGCTCTTGGACAGCATTTCTGGACCAGCTCTTGGCCAGAGGGGAGCCCACTTTTCTGAAGGGTGTGTCCCAGTCCTGGCAGCATCCACCATAGCTGACTGAAGAGTACTTGGTCTTTAAGTGAACATCAGTGGTGGTCTGGCAGAGAACCTTATGGGCTGGTGGTGATGGTGGCCACAGAGAAGCTCCTCTGACTGAGGAAAGGAGGGGAAGAGTGGAAAGAATTTTGTCTTGTGCTTTGAGTGCCAGCTTAGCTGCAGAAGAATAGAACATCAGGTATATTTTTAAGATTTTTGACTCTAATCCCTGCCTCCCGGACAGCATCTCTGGACTTGTCTGGGACCTGGGAGAACCCACCACCTGAAAGGAAGGACCTGAAAGGAAGGAACTGGTTGGCTTTGCTACCTACCGATTGTGGAGCTGTAGGGCCTTGAATGAACACAGGTGGTAGCCAGGTAGTCATTACAGAGGGCATTGGGTGAGACATAGTGTCGTGCTGGCTTCAGGTCAAACCCAGCATAGTTCCAGTAGTGTTACCACAGGGGTACTTTCAGTGCCACACTCCCAGTTGCAGGTGGCTCAGTACAAAGATTCCATTTATTTGAGAGAAATTAAGAGAAGAGAACAAGTGTCTCTCCCTGGTAATCCAGAAAATGTTCCCAGATCTTATTCAAGTCACCAAGGTGGTATCTCTGTGAATCTACAAATAAAACAAAACAAAACAGCATTATTGGGCTTCGGGCCCAAGTCCTTTTGAATACCTTGAAAGCCTTCTCGAGAAGGACAGGCACAAACAAGCCCAGATTGCAAAGAGTACAATAAACACCTGACTCGTCAATCCCCGGAAGCACTGACCATCCATAAGCATCAAGATGATTCAGAAACACATGAGCTTGCTAAATGAACTAAAAGGCACCAGGGACCAGCCCTGGAGAAAAAGAGATATGTGATCATTTGGACAGAGAATTTCAAATAGTTGTTTTGAGGAAACTCAAAGAAATTCAAGATAACACAAGGAAGAAATTCTGAATTCTATCAGATAAATTTAACAAAGAGATTGAAATAATTAGAAAGAAGCAGAAATTCTGGAGTTGAAAAGTGCAATTGACATAATGAAAATGCATCAATCTCTTAATAGCAGAACTGATTAAGCAGAAGAAAGAATTAGTGAGCTTGAAGACAGACTATTTGAAATACAGTCAGAGGACACATAAGAAAATAAAAAGAATCAAGCATGTCTATAAGATATAGAAAATAGCCTAAAAGGGCAAATCTAAGAGTTACTGCCCTTAAAGAGGAGATAGAGAAAGAGACCAGGGTAGAAAGTTTATTCAAAGGGATAATAATAGAGAACTTCCTAAACCTAGAGAATATCAGCTTTCAAATGCAAGAAGGTTATAGGACACTAAGCAGATTTCAGCCAAAGAAAACTATGTTGATGCATATAATAACCAAACTCCCAAAGGTCAAGGATAAAGAAAAGCTCCTAAAAGCAGCAAGAGAAAGGAAATAAATAACGTA